ACACTATGCCCGAGTAATCGAACAACCCTGCCACAGATTACTGACTGTTTAATCGTTAATATGGTGTAAAAAATATTAATTTCGAAGGAGCACAACTATAAAACGAATTACCGTCTTCTGTTAAAAACTTAAGCTCATTTAATATATTTAAATCTATGTTTTCGCAGTATATTTTAGAAAATCGTGCAAAATTAATATCTGCGACGAATTTGAAAGTGAAGTCTTTAAACCCTATATAAGTCAACCGCCTCAGTTTACGAGACCCTTCCTTAAGTTAGGCAGAGTAGGGTTTTGGCACATTGGCCCAGTACAAATTGGTTGCCTACTAATCGTACTAACATTATAAATGCGAAACTTTACGATGGATGGACAAACGACTGAACAGATCTCGATGAAATTTAACATTATTGGGCTAAGTCTGGAAGGACACACGAGAAGCGAAACAAAAACCAATACAACGCAGCTAATAAATCTGTATAAAAACAGTCGGTTAGTGATATACGGCTAGTTTATCTTTATTACTACCCCCTTTGTTTGCACCACTCGCTATCTAACTAGTTATTAGAAAGAGGTGGTGTTGCAATGAACAAGACAATTCTTCCTGAAGTGGAAAATTGCGGATTTCTCGAGTGTACACTGACCTGGTGCATGCGAGACGTTAGTAATAAAGCTGTCCCAGGAGTCTTGAACAGCGGAGCCGTCGACTTGTGGGCCGACGTTACCGCCATTCCCGGCGAAGTGCAGCGACACCCAGCTCTGGTACACGCGGTCCCATAGCTCCAGGATCTGCGTCTCCACACGACCTACCTTCTCCGGCTCACCTTCCTTCAGGATACTCCTCACCTGGTGGTCGCCAAGATAAATCATACATAGGTCTGAATACGAAGTTACATAAACGCAAAAACGTCAAATTACAAACATGGCGGCCATTACGGTATAACCATTTATCTATTGCTAGCTGTTGTTTGCGACTTTGCCCGAGTGAAATTAAAAATATAATAAAAAACATAGCCTAGGTTACTCGCAGATAAATTACCTTTCTAATGGTGAATGAATTTTTGAAATCAGCCCAGTAGTTTTTACATGAATCAAATACATACAAAAATCTAAAAAACAAATCTTTCATCTTTATAACGTTAGTATAGAAGTATAGTTTTGTGTAAATTAGAAAACATATTGTTATTAACGAGTAGCTAATGTTTATAGTGATGTTAGGAAATGTTTGAACAGATTTTTTTTTAAATTCATAAGTTTTAGCTGAATGTACAGTTTAGCTACGGGTAAGTATTTGGAAAGAAATAAATATTCTCGATCTGACAAAACTACAAAATATGAGTAGAGAAAAACCATATTGCAATTGTACCCGGGTAGCTTTAAACAAGTAAGTGTCCAAAATCGAGGTTCTACTTTACTTTTTGAGCAAAATTCTAATATTGCAACAAACTCCAACCTTATCTGCAATGTTTAATTGTTGAAAAATCTGAAATATATTGCAAAAAAAAGTGTATTAAAAAAAAAGGAAATGAACTCTTTTTATATGATTAAAAATGTAATAAGAGAAATATAATGTACGCTCATAAATTTTCTAGAGAATTTTCCAACTATAAAATTACTTATTAGCTAGTGAGTAATAATCACTATAAATACTATAAATTGAATATCTAGAAATAAAATAGACTTACGTATTTTCTAATCTAGATGAGCGTCCATTCGTAAGCGCAGATACAAAAGGTCGGGAAAAATTAAAATTGCTATCTCTACCAACAACTACTAAAAATCTAAAACCATCATAAAAATTACAAAAACCAATTAACAATTTGGTATTTTGATCTTAAAATAATACCAGGAGTAATCTAACATAATCTTTTCTATACTCAAATTTTTTATTTTACTAAATTTTGTTAATAACGTAATACTTACTGCAGTAGATATTCCTTCCCTTCCATATGTATATGCGTCATCAATGAGGGAATCCAGTTTTTCATCCCAACCTTCGGGCAAATACTTCTGCAGTGGGCTGTGTTGAACAAAGGTACTGTTCAACAGACTACCACTCAGTTGTACTACTACTATCGCTTCTGAATATATCTGAAAATATTTAAATTATATTTTATAGTATAACTTTAATATTTTTAACTAGCTTTCGCCCGCGACTTCGTCCGCGTGGAATTAAAAAAAAAAGTATGTACTCTAAGTGTTCTTTCAGAATCTCTACCAAGTTTCATAGAAATCTGTTCAGCCCTTTAGCTTACACACTCTAACAAACATCCATCCATCAATCCATCCATCCATCAATCCATCCATCCATCCATCCATCTATCCAAACTTTCGCATTTATGATATTAGTATGATTATTATCCTTTTTCAATATTCATAGTAAAAAAAACAAATATGGAAAGAGAAGCGGAGAGAGGGAGAGAGGAGCTGAGAGGTGGAAAGAATGAACGAGAGGGGTGGAGAAAATGAGGGGGAAGGGTTGAGAGAATGAGGGGACAGGTGAAGAGAATGAGGTAGAGAGTAACTGATGGAGAGACAGAGAGAGAGAGAGAAAAAGAATCATTCAATTCATAAAAACTAACCTGTATGCATACGAAAACGACGGCAACAGTGACAAAGAATATAAGACCAACTATAACAATGCAAGAAGATACAGTGTCAACAGAACTATATGCCATCTCTGTCACACTGCGGTTGCAGATTGACAGCATCTTGCCTACTCCACGGACATGGGCAGGTAGTAATGCAGATTGCCTGTAAAAATATTCAAATAAAAAAAAAATTCCAACACTTACTGTGTTTAGAATAAAAGAAAAACTATAAGCTATAAAATAAATTTAACCTTCAAATATCCCAGCTTTTTTAATTCAATTAACGACGATAATAAAAAAAAAATGATAGTCACCTGTCTCCCCACCAGTTCTTAATTCTAGCCATAATATTATTGTAGTAGTTCTCAAAGAATAACCAAACACCAAAGAAATTGAGCATCCATTTTATAAAATGTATTCCTAAGAAAAACACCATCACTGGTAACAACCAGATATGTTTCCAAACCAACATACAGAAACAGCCAAAGAATAGAAGCTTGAAATATATCGCGGATTCATCATCATTATTGAAACTGTTCCTCATATAGTTTTCATCAAGAGATCTTTGTTTAAACGATGCTAAAATTCGATTTTCAATTGATGGTTTTGTTTTAACATTTGGCAGCGGGAGAGCAGATAAAGTTCTCGTTTTAAATAAGATTTTAGCGTGTTTCGGAGAGCTCTGAGTAGAGTCATTTCCAGTCCAGCTGCCTCTTTTAGGACCTGATTCCGGAGTGATGGGACTTTCTTTATCTGGTGTTGATTCTTTATCGCTAGGTTCCTCTGGAATACTTTCTGTTATTTCGGATTTTATGTCTACTTTTGTATCGCTGTGGCTATTCATAATTACTTTTTGTAATGCTTGAAGGACAGAAGCTTCAGGGTCTGTGAATAAATTCAAATGGGTATCATTTAACCAATTTGTGTTATTTTTTATCTAACTAGTCAACCTTGCAAAATGTTCAATGGGTGTCAACCATCACAGAGTTTTAGATATATTTATTTTTATATAACATTATTCCAATCCAATACAGTTGTATTTCTGTATGTATCGGAATAATTTTCCTTTATACAATACTAGCTTTCGTCTGCGATTCCGTCTGGGTGGCATTGAAAAAAACAAAAGAGAATAGCCTATGTGTTCTTCCCGACTATCCTCTACATCTATACAAAATTTCATCAAATTCTGTTATGCTGTTAAGGCTACAAACTCTAACAAACATTCATCCATCTAAACTTTAACATCTGTAATATTACTATGATTGGTAAATAAATTATTTTTAACAAATTAAGACTTTCTCACCTTTCAGTAATAACTCCTTATGAACATGTAATACTTCAAGCACAAAACCAGTGACACCAATAATTTGTAATAGAACAAACATGTACACTTGGTATGAGCCACACAAACTTGCTACATAACTGGTTATAACCAGCCATAGAAGGTATGAGGTGGCTCGGAATATTCCAGATCTTTCTGGTGACCATAATGTGTACACACTTATGATGTATGCTAATGCAAATGTTAAAGTCTGCAAACAAAATTGAGGATTATGTTTTATCAACAAAATTGCACAGGCTTACTAAGAAAATAAATCATCCTGCCATGAAGTACTTTAACCCCCCTTATATCACTTTTCGTGTGCAAAGAAAGTGGTTCTATATTTTCCCCAATACAGGAAAAGTACTTATATTTCTAGTCAAATACATAGTTTTCAAATAAGGGGATGTTGCATAAAAGAGAAAAAAACCAGGGTAAGGCATACAATAAGTAATGCCACAGACTAAGTGACTTTCAATTAGAAATATCACTAGTAAAATTGATTAAATGTTTTAAAATGTATCATAATAAATATGTAACAAGCAAATTAATCATAATAAGTTCCATACGTTTGTGACTATTCCATCAGTGATATTACTAATCCAATGTTTCTTTGTCTATGGGGGTAGACAACTTAAATAGTTCATTAAATACATAATTTTACCTTTACTGTTTATAAATGTGGTTTAAAGTACACTTACCACATAGGAGGTGCATAAATGTATTAGCAATGTTGTTGACACTCCAATGAAGTTTGTGATTTGCCAGAAAATGCAGCACAAGCTCCGAGGAATTGAGTTGTACAGCCATGGAAATATAAATATAGCCGATAACAGTCCAATGATAGTCTGAAAGGAGAAATAGTACATATTTAGAACTTTATTCATAGCCTCAAATATCAGAATCCTATTATAACTGAATAGGTATAGTCTGTTCAGTAAATTTTTGTAATTGAATATTTTATTTTAACAAAACAATATAAAATCACTTACCTTGTAATGTTCCTTAAATTGATTTCCTACAGTTTCTGAGGCAAAGTTAATAACATTAGCTGGTATTACCATCAAACCAAATACAACTGAAGTGTTGGATTTTTCTAAATCTTCGAACCATAACTTTATTTGCTTGGATAATTTATATTTGTAAGGATGGAGGATCGATCCAACTAGTAAGGCCCATAATAAAGGTTTGAAGAAAGGTTCTAATATGAGAAATAACACATAAACTGCCACACAACAAATTGTTAAAATAAAAAAGGCAAAAGCGTTGTAAAACCCATGTTTCATGGGCTTTTCATTTCCTTTCGAAAAACCGCCTATTATATTAAATATGTTCTCAAAAGGTGACTGCTGCATCTCTGTGCAATCGATTTGTAAAAATCACTGAATAATTACATCTATTAATGTCTTGTTACAGGGTGTAGTTCAGAATTGAGAATTGTTGTTTAATGAGATCATGGCTTTTTAATATTTTCGGCATAATTTGACTGTATTTGACATTTGCCAAAACATCTGTCAAATGTCAATGTCTGAAAGTAATGACTTTGACATATTACGTAGTTTTACGTTCAGGAACAATTTTAATGTGGAAAACTAAAACAAAATGTCGTGCGAATATTTTATATTTCGATTATTTAATAAATACTTGACATTTTAATTTAAACAAACTATAGTAGAAATGATAAGCGTCAAATTATTGTTTAAATACTAAAATATTGTAAAATTTGACTAGCCAAACAATGCTTAACTTTAACTTATTCAGATCAGTTTTTAAATGCCGAAGTAATTGGCATGCATTTGATGTGCTATTTTTAGGCATATTTTTCTATAAAAATATCTATAGCCTGTTTTGCTACTATTGGATTGTCTGCAGGAACATGTTGTCCTGCACCCCGAATCATTATTTCCATAAAATTGCCCGCAGTCTTGATATACCTGAGAATATAATATTAAATAACATTATTCCATTAAACTTATTTCACTAATTAAATTCATAATGACTTTAAAGTTACCTTTGTAAACCTTACCCATTAACAGTGTGGTCGTGTCCGAAAAGTGGTTCCCTGCTAGCGTTTAGATATCCTTCACGCCCAGACCATTCAAGGTTTCTATACGACTTCTCTAATAAGGCATATGCCATAAGCATATCCAATTGTCCACTGAATTAAAAAAAAAGTTTGCAATTTGTTGCAGTTTACTTGAGTGATCTCATCGACTTTGGTCTAATCTAATTAGAACAGTGTAACAAAGAATAGCGAAGGAATAAATTCTAGGCTTAGTAAAAATATTGTTGTAACTTGTTACTTAGTTTAACGTCTGTCTTACCTGTAACATAGTACACCATAGTGTTCTACTAGTTCTTCCAACCACGGTATCACTGATAAATAAATTTCTTCATATAATTTGCTCTGAGAGCCATAATTAATAAAATCGAATCCTATATCGCCTACGTGTAATATTTTTTTTACTTTATCTTGGTTGAGATATTTGCTGATTTCTAGTTCCCAGTGCTCCGTATCGTCTTTTAAATAGTTTAGATCATCGAATGGCGCGAATGTTTTTAGTAAGTTGTATGCCATTTTAGCTTTCTGTAAAACCCAAAAGTTTTTTTTTTTATATGAGAAGGGGGCAAACGAGCGGCGGGAACACAAAGGTAGTCAACGACGCCCATGGACATCCGCAACACCAGAGGAACTACAGATGCGTTGCCGGCCTTTGAGGAAATTGTAGGCTCGCTTCTTGACACATTGACTACATTTTTATTTACGCGTAAGACTATGTAACTACGAATTGCATGGTTAAGCAGAAATAATACAAATTATAAGCTTTGAATTTTCATAAGATAGTTTACGTACTCCAGCGTAGTCGTATATATTTTGCTCCTCCCAATACATCCTGGCCATGTCCTCCGCTTCTTTTATTTTTGCAGCTTGCTGGTGATCGACAAGACCAAGTTGTAAAGCCCATTTTGAGTACTGCAGCAAATTGGGAGGATCGATCCATCCATCACCGATTATCAAACCCTTAGAAGACAAAAGATTACTATTAATATAAAATTAGTCAACGACACCTGGTCTTATCAACAACAGAGGCGGGTATCTTTTGAACGCCTTAACATCTGATGGTATCGTGATTATTCCCTACTTTCTAAATTAATCTGTAATATTATAAAGAGGAAAGATATCATATTTAAATATCGACTTCTATAATTTCTGAACAATTAAAAAGCTATGTTATCATTGAGTAACATAGGGCATGTTTTTAATTATTTTTATTGCACGCGGATGAAACACGAGCAACAGCTAGAATATTATAAAATCAAAATAAACAAATGACTTCGATTGTCAATGTTTTCTGAAATGATAAATCATAAAAATTGACAGTGTATTTAGTTTTAAGATGAAATTACTGTTTTATATAGTTTTGTCAATAATTAAACCTTAAAGTAAACAATAAGAAATAAGCCAATTTTATGTGCAAGGATTATACAGTAAGTACGCTTTGAGAATTTGAAATGACTCGATGTAAACATACAAGTTGCTTGATATCAAGTATCCTTGGATACTAATGACTGGTAATAAGTTTGTTAAACCTGTTTACAAGGAAAATAACACTTGCCTTTAAATTAATAGTGGATGAGAACATTTCATCGTGATGTATGTAATGTGCTAATCCGAGTACATATTTCCCGCCATATTCTTCGCCAGCAATGAACAGAGGTGCTTCTGTTAACTCTGGAAATACTTGGATGAACTGCTTCATGAATGTTAGAAGACTGCTTCCGATCTAATAGATAATAAAACATACTAATATTATAAATACGACAGTTTAGATGGATGGATGTTTGTTATAGTTTGTAGCCTAAACTGCTGAACAGATTTTTATGAAATTTGGTACAGATGTAGAGAGATATATTCTGGAAGAACACATAGGGTACTTTTGTTTTTTTTTTTTAATTTCTCGCGGACGGAGACGCGGGCGAAAGCTAGTATATTACATGTAAATCAAGAAGCTGTTCTAAGGGAATAGTATGCTGCATCTATTGTCGGATAATTGTCGTTCTATCACAATTTCTTTTTTATTAATTTTAACATGACCGTAATCATGGCCAGCGGTAATAACGCGGTGTTGCCCGTGTGGCAATATTTATTTTGTAAAAAAGCTTACCTCATCCTGATTACTAGGGTATCGCTTTCGTCTCGAGAAACTAAAGCCGGAACCAGCGGGGTTATCAATAAACAGCAGTGAATAATCACTAGCCCAAGTTACTGGCATCATTCCAACTGCAAATATACTTAGTAAATATAACTATGAATCAACATTTTACAATACATTTCGAAACAAAAATAACATTTTGGATATGTAAAACAAAATAGGGACGAAAGTACAATTCTTTACTTTGCTATTTTATTCTTATTTTAAACCATAAATGCGAAAGTTTGGAATAGATAATGTTTGTTAGAGTATGTAGCCTAAATATCTGAAAGGAGTTCCATGAAATCTTATAGATGTAGAGGATAGTCTGGAAGAACAGATGGGCTATTCATTTTTTTAAATTCCTTGCGATAGCTAGTATAAAATAATTCTCTAAGAACAAGTCTACTATAATATTTTTTTTTATTACAGTTGAAAGGAATTTAAAGAATAAAGCCCGTATGATATATTAATGTAGGTAAAAGTTATGGGCAGTGAAATTCTACGGTAAGTGCCACAGTAAGTGTCGAAATTTTATTTTTTATTTGACAGACATATATAAATGGACTCACATAGTCTTACCTTTTCCGTTATTGATCGTTAAAGGACCAATTTCTCTAAATAGTCCATAGAGAGATGACATCCCAGGACCACCTTGCAACCACACTATCCACGGCGTCGTATCCGATATCTGTCTTTTGTTTGGAAAATACCAGAAAAATAGATTCCAATCTTCAGTCTCGTTTACATTGATGAAGCCGGAATAGCTTTTAATGTTCTTATATATTGGATCATTTTTTGATAAACTTCTCGCTTTCTCGATTTCACCTCCTTCGATATACGGTGTAAGGATGAGGGGATTTTCATGGCTTTTAATTGTTCCACTGCTATCGATGTACTTGAAGCTTTATGGAACAATATAATAAATTAATGTTAAACTATTTTTTTTTCTAATTTTCACATAAATGTTTTAATTGTTATTTTCTTAAGTCTGAATTTAGTTACATTTCTTATCTTTAATTTAACAAGTGTTGTATTGTTTTGATTTTAAAAAATATTATTTAAAGCAATATTTCATTGTTTAATAATTTTTAAACGTTTATTTATTTGGCGTTACTTTGTTTAATTTTTGTTACTTAATATTAATAAAATAAATTACACAACACTTACGCTAAAATAAAAACCACTATTATTAGATTCATTGTACCAATAATTACTAATATTAACTAACTACTAACGCGATACGGCAATAAATGTAAAAATAGTGGAAAAATTGTGATTTTGATTGTAAAATAAATCATTTCACGCTATTGTCTATACTATTATAATAAAGCGTAAACACACACTTCTTTGTTGCCTACGATGTCAGCAATTACAGCATATTTTTAATTAATTATTTTTTTAATAAAAAGCCCTACACTTACGTCACGCTTTAGGCTATATATTTTCACGCTATTAAACTTAAGGAGTAATTATTTTGGATAAAAACACTAATGTGGGAAAGAGACCATAAGTTGCTGCCCACATCAAGGAAGCAAGACTGTCAAGGTTTGGCATGTCATGTCATTTTGACATTTGTAATTGATCATTTGACAAATGTAAATAATGAAGTAAAATTTTAACAATCTCATGCGGATGAAGCCGCATGGGAATAGCTAGTTTTTTAATATTAAATAGTCGATGTAACAGACTAAAGGTGGCATTGTTAATTAAACCTTGAAGTGTATTGCATTTCGATATGTTAGCGTCGATTAGCAGACCGCGCGGCTGCATATTTAACTAAGAGCGGGCGCACATCTTTGACTAATTTATCGCACAACTATTGTGCGATAGTCGATTGTTTTGCAGCCAATTCAACTGTTTAGTTGCACAACTAATTATCGGGTAGCGTGTGATCTTCCATATAAGCTAACTTTTCCCGTGCCGCTTCATCCGCACTAAATTGTGAAAATTTTATTTTATTGTTTACATTTGTCAATAGTCAAATTGACATGACAGAACAAACCTTGGCAATCTTGTTTCCTTGATGTTGGCAGCAACTTATGGTATCTTTCCCACATTAAGGTTTTTATCCAAAATATTTACCCCCTAAGTTTAATGGCGTTTAAATATATAGCATAAAGCGTGACGTAAGTGTAGGGCTTTATATTAAAAACAGAATTCAAAAATAAGTTGTAATTGCTGACATCTTAGGCAACAAAGAAGTGTGTGTTTACGCTTTATTATAATATTATAGATATAGACAGATTATAGATTATAGATTATAGATTATAGATTATAGATTATAGATATAGATATATAGGAATCAAAGTGTGCGATAGTTTAGTCAAAGGTGTGCACGCGCTTTTAGTACAGGAAAATAATACAATATGTTTTTTTTAATATAACTATGTATGTTTGTGGACACTATTTCATACTATTGCTTATTAATAATACTTACTGTTTACTTTATAATGTAGTAATAATGTTTTCTAAAAATATCTTTTTGAACAAAATAATCTGTATGCAAACGTCTATTCCACAACTTTAGATGACAGCTTTTGAAAACAGGTTCTTTTAAAACTAGCTTATGCACGCAATTTTGCGCAAATCTTACTCTTCCTAATATTATAAATGCGAAAGTTTAGATGGATGGATACTTAAATGTTTTTTAGAGTTTGTATCCTAAACTGCTGAACGGATCTCGCTGAAATTTGGCATTGATGTAGAGGATAGTCTGGAAGAACACATGGGCTTACTTTTGTTCTTTTGAATCCCACGCGGACGGACTCGCAGGCGATAGCTAGTTTAAAATAAAAACTTACCAAGTTGCCTATGGGTTATTACAGTTTAAGTTCAACATCAGTGCCAAATTTGATTGCATTGTTATTACAAACATCCATCGATCCAAACTCTCGTATTCATATTATTGTAATTTACAAGAAAAAAAAACAAATTAAATCAACATGTTTCTTTAACCGAATACCAAATTAAAACACGATATGGCCTTTAAAATTTTGTTTATGTTTAAAAGTTGAGATGCAAATGATTCAAGGTAACCTGCTCTACAAGGAACCTGTTTTTAGTGTATCAAATCACTAAATCTATTTTTATTCTGTTAAAGAGATATGGCAAGGAGTTGCTGCGATTTGCACGAACGATAAGAATCTAATTATCTATATCTATACTAATGTTACAAAGCGGAAAGATTTGTATTTTTGTATGTATTGAAATAGCTCAATAATTACTGGGCCAATTACAAAAAATCTTTCAACATTAGGAATATAATTTATTACTTTTTATTTTCACGGACACGAAGTCACGAGCAACAGCTAGTGTTACAATAAAGATAATTAAAGTTGTGAACTCTTCATCTAAACTAAACAATCTAGCAGATGTGAGACAATGATATAATAATTTATATTATTATTCCATTGGAAGTACGAGTAGTACTTCTCTCGGATTTTCCAAAATGTGCAAACAAAAATATTTTTTCACTTGAAATGTATCAATTTTAATGCTCTTCGATCTCAATAAAACTTGTAAATAATCCAATAAGAAAATAGCGCTTCGTTAATGCAATAAAAACAAAATTAAGACAAGAATATCAAGTTTATTAAAATCACAGCTGAACAGTTTATAAAATATAAAGTTGGTATACACTTATATTATTGGCACAATAACAGTCTTCTTTTAGTTGGCGGGGAAGCACATTGATCCCACCTTTATATATCCAGTAGGGCAAGATCCAGATCTGATACCGAATCTATTACCTAGCCCTTCTTCTCCGTCATCGGGTAAAACTGGCCTGGGCTTTGTCACATCTTTAGCGACAGTCGTCGGCGTTTGCCTTGCAGGGTAAGCGACGCACATTTGCACACCAATCAGTAAGAACACGCACAAAGCAAGTTTGAAATACATTTTGATATCTCGTTTTTGTAACAAGTATCCAAGTGACACCGGCCGAAGCGAATTCTCGAATGAGATTTAATTATTGGAGTCTTTATATATATGAGACTTTGTAAGGTATTTTCCTTATGCATCTATAGCGTAATATTTTAGATGATAATTATGTTACGTTATATGGGATGTTGCCTCACAATGTCAATAAAGGGAAAATCCAAAATATAGTAAAGTGTTGTAATGTTTAAAATGTAATAGAATCATATTCATTGTCATAATCACAATTTTTTTTAATATGAGATGGCAAACGAGCAAGCGGCCACCTGAATCATATACATCTTCAATTACAGATGCGTTGCCTACCCTTAATTGACGGAGTAGGAGACGCACATAAAGATGACATTTCCCCTTCCTATCCGTCTCCTCCACCGTCACATCCACTTTTCCTTCTCATCCTTTCTTTTTACGAAAAGGATGGAAAGGGAAAGGGACTAAAATTAGGCCTCCGGCACCACACTCATCAGACAAAACGCGGAATTGCTTCCACTTCACGCTTGTTTTCTGTGTGGCCGAGGTATTGCACCGGGCGAGCCGACCCATTCGTGCAAAGATATTAAAGCGGGCTCTATCTTTGTATGGAAGTCGTAAACACCTAAACACTTCAGGAATGGTAGGCAAAATTATGGATAGAAAATGGAGACGAGATCAGGTCGTGAAGAAGTGAAGAGTTGAAGGTTTGGTTTGAAAAATATTGTAACCATGCTCCTAGTATTAATGCGGATATTTAGATGTATGGATGTTTGTTAGAGTTTGTAGCCTAATCGGCTCAACGGATTTCGTTGTAATTTGGTATACATAGAGGATAGTCTGGAACTTCACTTTTGTTTTTTTCTAATTCCAGGCGGACGCTGTCTCGGGATAAAACTAGTAATATAATAATTACAATGGCTTGTGTTGTTTACCGAGATCAGCATTACAAAAATTAAAACTACATTAAGTCACCATTTAACAATTCTGAGTCGTCAGGCTTCAAACGTTAACCAACCGTTATTGTAGAATACATTTGACAGTGTATGATGGACATGCCCTCATATCAGAAACTGTTATAATATGCTGTTATGTTAGCACAGGTAAAAACTTGATAAATCAAACGTGTTTATTTAAAAAGCAAGTAAAAAATGACACATACATAACGGTTAGTGAATCATGTGTACATAGTTTTTTTTGTGGTCAGCAACACCAACGGTGGTATTGTTAATTTTTCTACCACAAAGAATTAGTCAAATATCTTATGACTAGCTGTTCCCTTCGACTTCATCCGCATAAAATTATGAAAATTTTATTTTATTACATGTGTCAAATTATCAATTGCAAATGTCACAATTACATGACATGATGACAAACTGTGGCAACCTTGCTTCCTTCATGTTGGCAGCAACTTATGGTTTCTTTCCCACATTAGGGATTTTATTCAAAATATTTACCCCCTAAGTTTAATGGCGTGAAAACATGTAGCCTAAAGCGTGACGTAAGTGTAGGGCGTTTTATTAAAAAAAAGAATTATTCAAAAATATGCTGTAATTGCTGACATCTTTGGCAACAAATAAGTGTGTGTTTACGCTTTATTATAATAGTATAGATATATTTATGATTTTAATAATAGGTTAAGATCCAAAGCGTTTTTTCTACCCTCATCAGATTTCCTGATAAAACCTACATGACAGAAAAGAGGACATTTTTTTAAACATGTTGTAACCGGGTTGCCTAATCCTAGCCTGGCAGGGCTATGTTTGTTTAACCAATCTTTATTTTGAGTATAATTTCATCAGGAAACTCGATGAGGGTAATTAGCCTGTATTTTTCGTTTGTCCCTATGTGACAAATTACATAATTTTCCTTAAATGGTCGGGACAAACAAGAGGAAAACGATGATGTCTGGGGAAGAGGACAGTGGCCGAAAAACAATAACAATTTAATATTGGAAACCCAGCAGGTTGTTATGTAACGGAGTTTCCACTTCTGGTGTATTCAAAAATACACGAAAAACAAAACAAAATACACCAAAAACAAAATATTCTCAAAAAAAAAGTACACTAAAAAGTAACGAAATAATTCCTTGAAA